AGAGAGAGAGGGAGAGTGAGTGAGTGCGTGAGTGTCTGTGTGTGCATGTTTATGTTTGTCCAGTTGCGTGTGTGTGTATGTGTGAGAGAGAGAGAGACAGACAGACAGACATAAAATATGTATGTTCAGACTCGAATCGGATATACTATTCCTTTGATTTTGCGGACAAGGTAATTTATGTTTGGCTTTGCCTTGGAAATGTGAGACCCCCACCATTTCAACATACTCAGATACTCGAGACAAGGAATTAAAGCCCTTACAAGTGACCCCAGCTCACCCCAACTCAACCCCTGTAATCCTTTCCACTTAGTACAAAACCTGAAGATGAAAGGGTTAGGATAAAGCCATCGCCTATTCTATTGCGACGAATTATTTCGTGTATCTGTTTTGATAGTCATGCGGCACAGTTGGTCTCTGGTGTTTTCATTGTGGCTGTGCCGTTATGCCCAGTGCTTACTGACAATCGAATTCAGTCGAAGTGAGTCGGGGTCAGCCAGATTTTCCTCCAAGCAGGGGCAAAATCTACCGTTTTGATACTAAACGATCGATTCGATTCGCGGCCTTCAAGAACGAACGCGTATGTTTTTGAAGTTCACAATCGAATTTAGACGAATCCGGTCGAACTGTGCCAAAATAGTAGTTTTTGTTCCTAGGTGGAGATAAATCTGGCTGGTCCCTACTCAATCAAATTAATTCGATTAACAGACTACACTTGGTATTAGGAATGCCGAACTGAGCACAACAATGCGTCCCGTAGATGTTTAGATATTTTTTGACTGAACTACGTTTATTGGCAACAAGTTACACGTTATAAAGTTCTCTTTATTGCTTTTACTTGTTGCCAGTTGTGCTACTTCGCGAGGCATACATGCGCTTATGGCGTTTTGTCTGTGTCGCTAGTGCTGTACTATATAAAGATGCATGTAACGAAATTGTAATTTTTGTGACAGAACTTCCGCCCTGTAGTGGATGTGGCTGGACCCAGGACTCTGAGGGGGCATTGTTGTCTTAGGTATACCGTAGTCTCCTCCACAACTGGTTGTAACAGATGTGAGCAACTCTCTCGTTCTCTCTCTCTCTCTCTCTCTCTCTCTCTCTCTCTCTCTCTCTCTCTCTCTCTCTCTCTCTCT